CTCCCTTCCCTTGCACCTTTACCCCACCGGCCACCAGCACTCCATAACTGGCGGTATCACTCGTTTGTAATCCTAACTTCTGAATCAACTTCTCTGACAAGAAGTTGTGTGTCGCGCCACTATCAATTAACACCACAACCTCCTCCCCAAGAAGCGATCCTTTGAGCTTCATCGTTCTCGGTGAAGTGATACCAACCACTGAATTGATTGAGACCTCCGCAACCATCGCCTCCGCAGCCTCCTCCACCAACTCACACGGTTCCTCCAGCAACTCCTCTTCTTCTCCGTTCAAGTGAATCACCAGAACTGTGAGCTCCGATTTGGTGCAGACATGGTTAGCGTGAAATTTCTCATCACACTTGAAGCATAGCCCCTCCGCCTTCCATTTAGCCACCTCAGCTGGTGTTAGCCGTCGGAATGGGGGTTTGAGCCTTCCGTGATTCGTCTGTGCTTTTCCCCCATTTCCACGATTAACGTTTTGTGAAACCATCTGGGTCTTGGGCCGGTTCTGAGAATGGGTATTGTTATTGGGCTTAGTCGTAACGGCCTGGTTACCCTGGTTGGGCCAAGACGATTTTGGCTCCAGTGACCCATCATCCTCATTCCAGTCTTCTACCTTCTGCGCCGCCTTCATCATCTGCTGCAAATTCCGAGCTTCCAACATACGAACCCCTTTTTTGATCTTTGATTTAAGACCAATCATGTACGCCGTCTCCAATACCGCTTCTGGAAGCTCTGGAGCGTTTGCTGCAAGGCTGATGAAATCACGGCGATGCTCCTTCACCGTCCCCTCCTGGCGCAAGGTGAGAAGCTGCTCCCCCGCCGATACATCTTGCAACGTCGAGTATTGCTCTAACACACGATGCTTCAACTGGGTCCATGATCGGAATGGGTTTCGTTGTCGCTCCCAACGATACCACATAAGCGCCTCTCCTGTGAAACAGATACGAACCGCTCGAAGTTTTTCCTCCTCCGTAAACTCCCCTAGCTCGAAATATTCATCTACTCGCAACACCCACCCCTCCACTTCCGTGCCGTCGAAGGTAGGTGCTTCCATCCTTCGAATCAACGCTTGACTACGCCACACGTTTGGTTCGTCGTGATGCCACGACCCATGGCCTGACATGCTACGACTTCCCGATCCTCCTTCTCGTCCCCAATATCCTCCGTCACGACCACCATAGCCCCCTTCGCGACCACCGCTTCCTCCGTCTCTGCCCCAGTACCCTCCGTCACGTCCAACGAATCCTCCCTCCTTTCTAGAGTTCGGTGTCGGAAACAACGTCGGGTTGCGGTGCTCTTCGGCTACGCCGGTTTTGCTTCCGCTTGAAGGATCAGAAATCGGCTCGTTGTTTTGATGAGCCTTTCCCTTCTCCATCTCACGGATTTTTTGTTGATTCGCTTCCTTCTCCCTCTGTTCTTCCTCCCATCTGCTGAACATGACTGCAAGTTGTTGTTGCATCGTGTCCATCTTCTGCTCGATCGAATCCATCCTGGCCATCCGCTCCTCCAAGACTGAGATTCGACCTAGCTGTTGTTGGATCTGCTCCATGTTGACGTCGCTATCGGTTTTCTTAGGTGCCATTTTTCCCAGATTTAGGTGCTCTGATACCAATTTGATACGTTTAGGGTATCAAACTTGTAAAAAGAGAATCTGAAATAAAGAAATATGTTGTATTGATCAAAAGTTACACGGTTTGAGTTTTTCTCAGGAGTTTCTCTCTCTCCCCATGAAACAATTGATCACACAAAAGATACCGTACTCTAACAACCTTATTCCCTTCTTATACTGATAAGCCTCCTCACGTACACTACCCCTTGTCACCAACATCCCATGTGCAGTGAGTACAGCTCAGCTTATTCTTCTAGATACTACCCTTAAGCTCCAACGCTCTTGGGCCAAAGCCTGCGGCACTTCTTCACTTGTGGGCCTTTCCTCTGCGGTGATACTGGTACAATATAGGAGGACGTAAGGCCTCATACGTATCACACCACTGATATGGAGCCATGGAGGTGCAAGAGAACAGATGGTAAGAAATGGAGATGCTCTAGAAACGCGGTCCCTGATCAGAAATACTGTGAGAGACACACACACAAGAACCGTGCTCGTTCAAGAAAGCATGTGGAAACATCATCTCACCACAATGATACTCGTACCGCTAAGAACGTTACTAGCCCGTTTGCTACAACTTATCCTCAGTTTTACGGACAGCCCTTAAGCCAGTTCTCTACTGTTTCTACTCTTCCGTGGCTTATGAAAGAAGGAGACTCCATAGCAACATTAAACCCGGAGATTCATGAAGCTGTTCAGGTGAAGGTTGGATCAAACAGAGAGCTCAAACGTGGATTTGAATATGATCTGAATTATAGGCAGAAGGAACCATTAGTAGACCAGAGCTTTGGAGCATTGGAGGGTCTATTGAGTTCAAACCGCGAAGAGACAAGGCGGTTATTTGTAAAAGAGGATCAAGATGAAGCAGTGGGAAGCTCACTGACACTATCAATGGCTAGAGGAGCCATGGAGGAAGGTGTGGGAAGAAACCACCACCAGTGGATAGTCATGAAGGATTGTCATGGTTATGTTCAACACCAGGGGGACCATTATTGGCTGAAGCACTTTTTCTTGGTGTCTCCAACAACCCTAGTACTAGTACTACTACTAGTAGCTGCAGTAGAAGCTTAAGCTAAAAATAAAAACGATTTGAGTTGTCTTCTCTAGAATAAGTTTAATAATGAGAAATCAAAACTACCTTTCAGATTTAAGTATCACACTCAGTGATTTGTTTGGAAAACGGAGAACACCTTTTAGATTTACTATATCCTTTTTCCGCGCTACGCGCGGATTACACCTTTTAATTTGTTATTTTTTTGAAATTATTATGTAAGTGTTTGGTTTTAATTTTTATTTAGATGTATTTTATATTTTAAATCTTTTTAGTTCTCTCTTGTTATATTTTAATATTTAAATTATTTTCTACATTATTGTCTAAATGATATTACTTTTAATTTTTTTGATTAAGGTAGCAAAATATATGTTATTTTAAAATAGTGTTTCATAAATAGTTATTCAGCTAAAGAAGACATTAAGTTAGATTTGTTTTTTTTTCCTTTGTCGTTGAGCTCCATTTGCTTCTTATGTAGAATAATGTCATATTATTTTCTAATTATAATTTAGCAAATGTGTATTGTAATTTAATATGTCCATCTATTTGTTATATGTCGTAGTAATTGAATGGAAAATCCAAAATATTAGGAAGTAAAAATTTCTTAAAATTTATATATTTAATACTGTCAATTTAAATATTAAATTTCTGGTAGAGAAAATAATTTAAATGTCGTGTAACTATACCATTAGAAACTTTGTTTTATATTACTATTCCATAGATAAGCATTATAAAATGATTGTGTGATAAGAATTATAAACTATGTAAGGTGTACAATATTAATGTTTAAAAAAACTATTATTTTTAATTAACAATATACATATTTCTAAATTAAAATTCATTATTTAATTGATGTATAGTTTATTTATATTATAGCTATGTAATCACAATATAATTTATTCTTTTAAAATATTGGTTGCCTGCTTAGTCTCTAAATATCTCCTATACACTATTTGAAAAGTGATTTTGGACATGTCTTAATTACAATCTTTTTCACAAAAATAATATGGTTTGACTACTAAAACTGATGACATAGCTTATAGCTTAATATGATATGGAAATTATATTTAATTTTAATTTATATTTTTGGTAAACGTTTTAAAATATGGTAAGAACTCATATATTATATTTAGTCTCGATTCATATTTTTGGAATTTTTTAGACTATGATAATAATTCATATATATATATATATTCAAATATGACATTACAAATATGACAATAACTCATATATTACATTTAGTGTTGATTTATATTTTTGAAAAGTTTTTAGAGTATGGTAATAACTCATAAGTATAATTAAAATAAATATATTCAAATATGGCTTACAAATTTTGAAATATCATTTACTTATCTACTTTTAAATTATACAATTTTATTGCTAAAATTGTCAAAAATGTAAACATTTTTTTTAGAAATTTATAAAAATTTGATCGTAAAAGCATTAGTTTCTAATATATCTACAAATTTAATCATTTTTTAATTTAAATTTTTAATAATTTTGTTTTTTTAAAAATTTATTTAATATATTTTTTCTTACAATAAATAGATAGAAAATTCTATCTAAGATTAGTATTTTAACATATTCTTAAAAATAATTTAAAATAAACAAAATTATTTTAATTTTAATTTTTATGTTTAATTAAATCAAATTCATATAAAAATATTGATAAAAAAGAAAATTTTAAATTTTAAAAAATTTTATTTTTAAACTTTTTTCTGCACATGGTGTAAAAAACGCCTAGTTTTATAATATTTTCTAAAAAAAAATCACACTTACTTTAATCGTCATACTCATAGATAATCTTATGATTTGAAGTTGTCATTTTATGTTCTTACATCAAACAAATTCCAATGGTACATCCATCCCTTTATCTTTTGAGCTCCACATGGATGAGCTTTAAAGAGAAACTTTTGTTATTGTAAAGAGTTGGTCACATTAATATTCAACGTTCTCTTACAACATGATTCATTGACGATCAAATTGCTACAAACTTCCGGCTTAAAAGAAAATGCATTGGCGTTTGATTATCACTATTTACTCTACATTGACCCTACATGAAGATTAAATGCCTACCAAAGAGTAAAGACTCAAATATATCCATAGTTTTGTTACTTGACTGTGTCTGATCTTCTTTGTTCAATTCTGTTCAGGCAATAGTGGAAGTTGGAGAAGTGTTGCAGTTCTACGACACTGACAAACGCTTTCCAGCATGGGGTTTTGGTAACACAGCTAAGCTAATTCATTTTAGAACATGAAACTATTCTCCTACATAAGTACATAGTCAAGAAAACCTCTAGAGCTCTTTTTTTTTTACACTCTAGAGCATCTATAACATCAAGCTGCTTGCTTCTCCTTGTCTATAACATCTATAAAAAATGAATTTCATTACAACTGACGACAACACGAAGATGAACATATGACATATATATTAAAAAAAACTGAACATAAAAAGTTCGGTTTTGATCTTTTACCCTGAAGTGACTTAGACACCGAAACCTGGTGAATCAGATCCCCTCTTCCTCCCGAATCTCCCTCCTCGTCTTCCTCCCCTGCATAGACCAAAACCGAACCAGACCCAAGTTATAAATCAAATGACAACAACTTAAAGAAACAAAGCCAAAACCAAACTTTAGCACAACAGCTTGGACCTAAAGTCTTGACAAAACCAAACCAGTAACACATATATTCACCTTTCTCCACGGCCACCTTCACCCTCATGACCTGCACCAACGTAATGTTACTCTCTGTTACTAAACCTATAAACCTAAACCCTAAGTACCAAGAGTATGAGCTAAACAAGTAATTACCATGGAGCTTGTCTTCGGATGAATCTTCGTCTCCACCTTCCGTCTCTCTCTGTGAAGCATCATTTTCTAGTCTAACAAAACAACATGATCTGTTTTAGTACTGAAATAAGCAAAATAGACGGTCACAGTTATTCCTAGTTGGTGGGAACAAAATTACATATTTAAGAAGATTCACCTAACCTGTTCATGGATGGTTGAGGTTTAATCTCCACCAAATTTAATCTCTATCTCCTTTTGATCTTTCAAGTAAGACAGAACATGAAACAACAGCTCGATACAATACCTCTGGAGTATAGAAGAAATTAAATAACCGTTCTTAGTCTGCTTCATCAGGACCTTCAGGTTCTTGTTGAGTTTGATCCTGTGTACCCTTTTTCATTACATTTTTATTTTCTCAGTCTTCAGATTACAAAATTTTAGTGTATTTAATTTACTCAGACGTTTCGTAAGGATCTTCACTCTGCACCGGCATATCCTTTTTTTTTAAAAAAAAGAAAAAGAAACTTATCAGTCTTGAAATATTCACATTAACAATGGGCACATAACGTTTAGGGTATTTGTTTGAAGAAGAACTCACAAAGTAAAGATATTCCAAAGCTGTACCAATGTCATCATATGCCAAATAGAGTGCAGAGGTAACCATGTCACAGTTCCAGCCTATTCCGACCATCTCAAGAATCTTCTGAATGTTACTCTCTGAAACTCTTCCACTTGCCACATATGATGATGATGCACTAGCCGAGGCAGGTTCAGTAGGAGGAGTCTCAGTTGAGGTAGACGTTCCGGTAGATGCAGGTTTTCTCTGCAGTTAATTATAAAGCCCCACCCGCGAGCACAAAATCAATAAGCTTATAAACTCTAGAAACATAAAATTTCATTACCATTTACCAAACCCTAAACACACCTTCATAACGCAGATAGTCCTATTCTCGGAAACGTTGGTAGCCTCTACTGTTGTCTCATCTTTAAGCACTTTTCCTTTGTGAATAAGCATCTGTTCTGCAGCAGGATATGATGCTGTAACTACCACCACAGTCTCTATGTTCTTCTTCACATCGGCAACCTAATCACACATATCCCTTATATATTATTTGAGAAGCATTACAACATGTTTTGGTAGCCACGTGTCATCATGAGAATGCTTCTCAAATTTACTAGAGAAAAATGTTGGTCCATATAAACATATAATATACTTTTTATTAAACTAAACATAAACTATTATTATTGCTTTTCATTATTTCCTTAAATAAAATTTACGGAATTACCTAATATG